TATTGCTTCTTGAATAAGGGGCAACTAGGTTTTTAACAGCGCACAAAGTTGATAATTACTGTTGAACAATCTCACTGGCCCTGACAGACTTTTTATATTTGGGGAGAAAAGAATTTCTCCATTGCAGAATCATAGAATAGATTTAACACAGTGTGGAGGCCATTTGGCCCATCATATCTGTGCTGGTTCTCTATGAAGGAACTAATACTGCCATTCTCCCACCTCTAGTACCACTGCACATTCTTCTTTTTCAGGTAACAGTCCAATTCAGTCACTAACCCCTCAATAAATGTACCTCCACCACACTCTCAGACACTGCATTCCAGTTCCTAACCATATACTGCATGAATGTCTTTTTTTTGACCCAGTCTACTCCTTGCTTCTTTTGCCAATTACCTTAAGCCTGTGCGAAATGGTTCTTGATCCTTTCATGAATGGGTGCAGTTTCTCCCTACCTAATTTGGCCAGAGCCCTCGTGGCTTTGAATATCTTTGTCAAATTCCATCTCAGTCAAATTTTTCTTCAAGGAAAACAGTCCAAACTTCTCCAATCTTTCCATGTGCAGGCTATCCCTGGGTTGTGAATGGGTTCTGCTCTGGAGTCCATTCACAAGTTGATTTGTACGCAAGTCAGAACACAATGTACAACAATGGAAAGCAGCTGTTTGTAACTACTGTGAATGTTTCTGTGTGGGGGCTTTAAAATTACAACCGCGTATGGGATCACATTTATAAAAATGAGCATTTGGAAGTCAGAGACCCCTATAGCTGATATTCCTCATTCCTGAAGATATGCTTATAAATTGTTTCTGCACTCTCTCCAGTGCTTGCACGTCCATCCTAAAGTGTGGTGCCCAGAACTGGATGCTGCAGTTCTGGTTATATCAGTATTTTATACAGGTTTCACAGAAGTTCCTTGCTTTTGTACTCTTATGCCCCTATTAATAATGCCTAGGATATTGTATGCATTATTAACCATGCACTCAACCTGTTCTGCCTCCTTCCATGATTTATGCACATAATCACTCAGGTCCCTCTGCTCCTGCAACCTCTTTAGAACTGTATCTTTTATCTTCTTCTACATCTTTCATTGTCTCTGCATTAAATTTTATGTCATTTGCCTGTCAGTTTCACCAACCCAATTATGCTCTCTTGAAGGTTTACCTACCCTTCCTTCCAGTTCATAGTATTTAAAAGTTTTGTATTGTCTGCAAATCTTGAAATTGTGCATTTGTAGACCAAGATCAGGGTCATTTATGAATATCAGAAATGCAGCAGTTCGAACACTGATGCTTGGGGAACTACACTACATAAAGCATAACATGGTTTGAAAATCACCTGTTTACCAATGCTCTTTTATTTCCTGACACAAAGCTAGTTTCATATCCGTGTTGTTACTGTCCTTTTTATCCTGTCAGCTGTAACTATTGTGCGACACTTTATCTAATGGCCTTTGGAATTCCATGTAGACCTCATCAACCCTCTCTATTAGTTCGTTGAAATACTCAAGCAAGTTAATTAAATATGATTTTCTCTTAAATTGAAAAGTTATAACACAGAAAGAAGCCATTTAGCCCATTACACCTGTGCTAGCTGAATGAACTCACCTTTCGTTCCAATCCCATATTCTTGCACTTGGCCTGTGACCTTACAGCTTACAGTAGTTCATGTACAGATCCAGGTTCTTTTAATTTAAGAGTCTCCACTTCAACCACCAAACCAAACAGTGACTTCTAGACACCCACCACCTTCTGCATGAAAATGTATTTCCTATGTTCCCTCTGCTACTTCGACCAATCATATTAAATCTGTGCTCCTGGGGTAATCAACCTTCTGCTAAGGGAAAACAAGTCTTTTCTGTCCACTCTGTCCAAACCCCTCAATATTTTGGACACTTCAATTAAGTCAACCCTCTGTTCTAAGGAATAGAACCCTGGTTTATCCATTTTCCCCATAGGCTACAATTTTCAAGTGCTGGAAACATGCTTGTAAATTGCCTGTGTACTCTCGCTATGGAAGTGATTCCTTTCTGGTGACCAGAAGTGTACACACAACTCCAGGTGAGGCCTAACTGTGTCATGTAGTTTTCCAGAACTGCTTATCTGCTCTTGTATTCAGTACCTCATCCAATGAAGGAAAACATTCCATATGCCTTCTTTACCACCTTATCTATCATTCCTACCATCTTTGGGGACCTGCAGACATGCAGACTCATGAACTTGATGTCGTCTTGGGTTGAAAATCCAGTCTTGCCCTTTTCAACTGCCTTACAATCCAGGAAGTTCCACAGTTTGTTCTGTTACCAACATCCAACACTGAATATCAGACAGACACCACCTGTCTTGGTCTGACCTTTATTATTGTGCAGGTGTTCTTCAGGCAAGCAGAAGTTGAGTTTTGCCAGATCAAACAGCAGAGTCATTACAGTGGTGGCAGCTCTTTGGCTCTTGATGGTTGGCTCCTGAATGCCTCCTCTTTGTGTCTGTTCTCGAGGGATGTCATGGGGATAAGCAAAGGCAGGTGCTGGCTCTTGGCTACATGATCCCATGCATTAGAAGGGAGCCGCTGCTGCTGCATCTCCAGATTCACACTGTCTGGTATTGCCACCCTCAACAGGGGAGAGCAGTCAGGAGAATTTGCCATGAAGGTGCAAAGGAAGTCATTGATCTCTTTGCACTACTGAATCCAGGATGGGGTGATGACTATTAATCTCACTGCAGCCTCCATAAGATTTGCTTGGTCAGGCAGACAGATCTCATCTTGTTGACCATGGGAAAAAGTGCCTCACAGAGTCATAGAGTAATACAGCATGGAAACAGGCCCTTCGACCCAAGCTGGTCCATGCTGACCATGGCCACTCAGCTAGTTCCAATTGCCCACATTTGGTCCATATCCCTCTAAACCCTTCTCATCCATGTACCTATCCAAATGTTTTTTTTAAATGTTGCTATCGTACCTGCCTCAAGCAGCCCATTCCATATACGCATCATTCTCTGCGTGAAGAAGTTGCCCCTCAGGTCCTTCTGAAATCTTTCTCCTCTCAGCTTGAACCTATGCCCTCCAGTTTTCAATTCCCCATCCCTAGGAAAAAGGCTATATTTATTCATCCTATCTATGCCCCTCATGATTTTATACACTTCAATAAGGTCACCTCTCATTCTCCTATGTTCCAAGGAATAAAGCCCTGTCCTGGCCTACCTCACCCTATAACACAGGCTTACTAGTCCTGGCAAAATCCCCGTAAATCTTCTTTGCACACTTTCCAGTTCAACTATGTCCTTCCTACGACAGGACAACAGAAATTATACACAATACTCCAACTGTGGCCTCACTAACAATTTATACAATTGTAACATAATGTCCCAACTCCTAAACTCAATGCCTTGACGGATGAAGCCCAGCACACAAATGCCACCTTCACCACCCTGTCTACCTGTGATGCCACTTTCAATGAACTATGTACTTGTACTCCTAGGTCCCTCTGTTCCATAACACTTCTCAGGACCTTACCTTTTACTGTATATGTCCCACCTTGGTTTGACTTTCCAAAGTGCAACACCTCACACTTAGCTGTATTGAATTGCATTCGCCGATCCTCAGCCCACTTCCCCATCTGATCAAGATACCTCTGTACTTTTTGATAACTTTCCTCGCTATCAACAATACCTTCTCATTTTGTAGCATCCGCAAACTTACTAATCATGCCTTGTCCATTCATATCCAGATCATTTATGTAAATAATGAATAACAAAGGTCCCAGCACCGTCCCCTGTGGCACGCCACGAGTCACAAGCCTCCAGTCCGAGAAACAACCTTCAGCCATCACCCTCTGCTTCCTACAATCGAGCCAGTTTTGAATCTAATTAGCTAGCTCTCCCTGGATCCAATGCAAACTAACCTTCATGACCAGCCTGCTGTGCAGGACCTTATCACAGGCCTTAGAAAGTCCATATAGACAACATCTACTGCCCTACCCTCGCCCATCCTCTTGGTTATCTCTTCAAAAAAACTCTAAAAGATTTGTCAGACAAGACTTCCCATGCGCAAATCCATGCTGACTATCCCTAACCAGACCTTGACTATCCAAATGTTGGTTGAGCCTGTCCCTCAGTATCCTCTCCACTAACTTGCCGACCACTGATGTCAGGCTCACTGGCCTGTAGTTCCCTGGCTTGTCTTTGCTACCTTCCTTAAACAATGGAACAACATTAGCTATCCTCCAGTCTTCTCGAACTTCACCAAGGCCTCCTGCCTTTCTGTTGCAGCCTCGCAGAGAATCTGTAAACTGGCTTCGCTAAACCATGGAGCAAGCCTGGTATCTTCTCTCTGGTGAGAATATTGCAGCCCCCTTCTTGGCCCAATCCTTGATTCCTCACTTGGGACTCTAGGATTTGTCAGGTTAGTTGCCCTCGGGCACAGAAGTGGAGGTGTGGACTCTGGAGGCTGAGGCTTCCTTAGGGCATGCCAGTGGGGTGGATGTGATCTACACAGCAGGACTGAATGTCGGGATGGCAGGCCTTTAGAAATGGTGCCAGTACCTGCCCCATGAGATGATGCCAATACTGACAACCCATGGCCCAGCCCCCAGTCGAGTGGTGGATGGGCTGCACACATTTGAATGGCCATTAATTGGCCAGCCATGATCACAGTGGTCCAGCTGTATTTCTCTCATACAGCCAACCACCTTTGTCCAGTACCACTGGGACCCCTGTCTCTCACACCATCTATCCCAAGTTGTAGGGATACAGTACTAAAAGATAGATAAATGACAATAATTTTTGCCCTCAAAAGTTTACTGTGTGTTAATGTGCTGTTACAATGACATAATTATGTGCCATACATTATTTTCCATTCATTAATCTGCCAGCAGGGTCCTGCAGCTTTCTGGAATGTCAATCATTTAAGTTAACAATGCTTGAATGTCTTGAAGGTAAAGTCATCAACTTCAAATTACGTTCTGAATTTTTGAAACCCTTTCTCTTAATTTCATTCAATCTCCAGGTGCCTCTTCAGAGAGTGTGAATTTGCTCCCAGCACCCTATGGTTTATCCAACTGGACCTCTAGTCTCCTGCTGGACAGTGGGCATGACAGTGATTTGATCTTCAGGTTTGATGGCAAGCATGCTGCAAAAATTCCAGATGGGGTGATACCCAAAAATCTCTCGGATCAATTCACCATCACCATGTGGATGAAGCATGGACCCAGCCCAGGGCTGAGAGCAGAAAAGGAAACCATTCTCTGCAATTCCGATAAAACAGGTGCCCTGTCAGATTCAAACTGTTTGTGTAGCCTATTGAATAACTTGCCTAGTGAATTTTAAACTTTATTTGTAGAGGCAACTAGAGGTCAAAATAATCCTGAAATTTGCCTGAAATCTCATTCTTTTGCTGATCTAAACTGGCTGACTTTTGTGTCCTGATTCTTTCTTTCAGTAATCCAACCCCATTTTAGAGAGGTTCCATGCTCAAATCGATTCAGGTGATGAAAATGTGCTGGATTTAGCTTCTGCCTTCTATGGATTAAGAACAGAAGCTAAAAATCATGGTAGTTTAATTAAGATCATGAAATGCTGTAAATGTAGAGCAGGTCGGTTAGCATCTGAGAGAGTACAAACTAGATTCATGCTTCTGGTGGTTCTTGACACAGATTTTTGAATAAGCTATTGTTTGACACAAATTCCAAGCTTTTCCCAGAATGATACACTCCAAACTTTCATATGGTGAATTTCTTTGACCCTGCAGGCCACAAGGACACACTTTGCATTGTTTCTCCTCGATTCGAATTTTTTCTTTTTTAGAAGCGTGTGCTTAGGACGTCATATGGCACATTTTGTAGTGTCCCTACCTATGGGCCAGAAGCTCCGTATTTGTGTTACACCTCGGGACACATTGACCATGGAAGGTATGTTTGTAACATGGATAGGCAGGTTGGTTGCCAGCCTGTAAATCCTTCCGATATGCCTGAGTCAGGCAGTAAGAATCGGAGAATCTGCTGGTCAAGCATTCCCACTGAAGACAATGCCAAACCAGTGCAATGCTTTGCCCTTATGTGTGGACCAATCAATGGAAGTCTGTGCCACAAACCTTGGAAATAAGAATGGGGGAAAAGGCAAACTGACACTACTTTTCCGCACTGGTTAATTGTGTGCTGACTAAATACATCCTTCAGCTACTGTAAGCTTTCAGACTGTAAAAGGAGTGATTGTCAGCAGCCATTACAGCCTTTTTAGTTTATCTTCTCATAATGTGGGCAGAACTACAGCATAGTTCAGTTTAAATGTTTGCAACTCAGTTGTTGATAGTGATTAGATACACCAAAGATTAATTTGTATGTAACAGCCATTGTCATGTTGTGTGTTTAATGCAAATAACCAGTGAAACTGTGACATTAAAAAATGCTGACTGCATTATCATATATATAATCTTGACAGCTCTAAACCTACCAAAAAGGTAGAACTGAAAGTTATCTCCACAAAATGTTGATGTTATTCATCTTTTCCAATTTACTTATTGACCCTCTGGCCCATAATTATTTTTAATCAGCATGCAACATTTTAATTTCCAAAAGTGAAATGCCATATCTGCCTTATTATCTATCATAACACAAATAAACCAGGTGGTTTGCACAATTTAAGTCATGGTGATCTGGTTCATTTTATCTATTTATGTATTTCCTTAGTCTCCCCATATCCTTAGGTAAGTGAAGGTTTGGTTTCAAATCCTATCCAATTGGTATTGTCAAAAATGGTTTTCTCGTTTGTTGAAGTCAGTTCAATACCGCATCACAGGATTTTCTCCATTTGGTCTTCGTGGGTTTCTTTGATCATTAATCCCAAAAGAATGTTGTGGAAGTTTGCCAGTCTGTATTGGTTACTTCAAGTGATGGGTTATAAACAGTGCAGGATTCCCGCTGACTAAATTTTCCTTTTGCCTTTAGAAATGAATCGACACCATTATGCACTTTATGTTCACAACTGTCGGCTAGTGTTTCTGCTGCGTAGAGATTTTGATCAAGTTGACACTTTTCGTCCAGCTGAGTTCCATTGGAAACTAGAGCAGGTGAGCCAATTGTTCGGCCATTAATACTGAACAGGGAAAACAAGATGTATACGACAAATGTCACAGATTGAATTATTTTGTTTGAAGGAAGCTTCGAACCGGTATCAATCAAACTGATTAATCTGTATTATCATGCATCTGTGGTATGGAGAATTCATCAAATCATTGCAACTTATGAGAGGTGTGAGCCTATATGCTGTTTTCAAAGCTGCAAACAAGCATCTACCCCCCAGAGCCCCCACAGAATTTCCCAACTGATGCAATTGTCAAGAGACCGTGTTTTTAACTTGTATACTGAGGTGATTTAGTGCAGAGTGGTGGTTGGTGGGATGGTGCATGTACGCAATGAAACAGCAAGTAAAAACTGACATTGTTATTTTAGCAATCATTTTGATACATTATTTCCTTTGCTTTGGATCACCATTGCATACTTGACCACCAAGTAACTTTTTTCTAAGATGGCTTTTTATATTGCCGATGATTTGAAGGCTCCAAAGTATTTCAGAGACCGAGAGCGAGTCTTCATTTGCATATCTTCCCTCTCCATGTATTTGATTAATGTGGCCTTTCTACTGCCAACACACCTGATGGTATGAACTGAGATCAAGACTCAGTGTGTGGAAAATCATATTTTCTGAGAGTACTTTGATATGTCAGCATCTGTGCTACCGTGCTGCCTCTTTTAACCTGTATATTTATTATAGAACTCTACCGAGTAGCCCATTGCTGTCATCAGATTCTGTCAGCTCTTTGTAAGGGCTGTTTTCCTCTTGGCCAACTAATTTTCCGTTTTACATAAGAAAAGTTTGTGATGTCCTGGTAATCTCACTAGACCAGTAATCCTAAAACTCTGAGTTTATTGTTTCAAATCCCAATTTGACAGCTGATGGAATTTAAATTCAATCAATTAATCTGGAATTGAAATAGGTCTCAGCAAGGGTAGCCACAAAGCTATTGCTAATGGTCTTAAACATCCGCTTAGTTCACTGATGACCAATAGGGACAGACGTCCTTACCTGGTCTGGCCCACAGGTGATATCACATCCACTGCAATATGGCTGACTCTTAACTGACTCTCAAATGACCTAGTGAGCCATTCAATTCACAGGCAAATGGGGATAGGTAGGAAATGCTGGCCTTGCCAATGACACTGACATCCCACGAAAGAATAAAGAGAAAATAAATCCAATTTCATTTAGGAAGACGTCATAACATTCTGTTATCTGTCTCCCCAGTGAGATTATTCAATATGTGTAGATGGAAGTGTCTTAAATATTGTACAGGAAGAAGCAAACAGAAGGCCAAGCATGTAAAATAATATTTTATGCCAGTTTTTATTTGAGCACTCTATTAAGACCATTTTGTCAACTACTGAAATAACTGTTCATGTGAGTTGAATTTCCATTTCACTATATGCTACTGCCTCAGGCTGGATTTTGCACAGAGAAATACTGACAACAGATTCGTTGCTTTAAATTCATGAGCTTTTAGACGAATCTAAGATCATTATTTTATTACGACTTAGAGTATTTCATTTAACGGCTGCCAGCTACACACTCATATGCATCAGCATTGAAATCGGAGATTGCTGCTTCTATTATCAGAGGTTTCAGAAAGCACTGCGGTGTATAAAACATTATGAGGATGATTTATCATTTTCAGGATACTTTGGGCACATGGTGGGTGAAGCAATCCCATTACCAGCAGGTGGTCCCATCAATTTTGGTGATAAGGGCTCATTTAAAGTAAAACCATTGAACTGCTCCTGCAGAATGAGTGCTGATTCAGGGAAGGAGAAGGTCCCAGTAGAAAAATCAACATTTTCACACAAAGGTGAGGTACTAGGGAGATTTAAAGAACAAGAAGGTCATTCTCCTGAAGTGGTGGAGTTGACCAGTAGCTGGCAAGGTATTATATATTCCGTTGGCACATCAAAAGTCGTATTTTTTTATTATTTAAAATGTTACACTTGTTTTCAAAGTCAACTTGCCCAGTCATTCTGATGTAAACATAAATTGCAATAACATTCCCAGCATATATGGTTACCTGGTTTAATTATATGGGGCCCATTTCTAGCAAAGCTGATTAAATTGAGGTTCCCTTTAAATTCTCAACTGTTGGAAAATCAGTGGAAACTTAACATAGTTTCCTTTACAATTTTTATCTTGCTTCTATTCAATATCTTCTCAGCTGGGAAAAGGGTGCAATGAGGTGAAAACTGACCCTGCTTCTTATTTCTCACTTTGTGCTTTGGTCTGTAATGAGCTAGGAATTTGACACATTCAGGCAACAAAAAAATTGATTATATGCAAGCAGTTTTTTTTTTCCGGGCTATTAATATCTGCAATTTTCCCTATTAACACAACAGGCCAAGTTTTAGAGTATCAGGGTTAGTGTAACGACAACTTAAAACAAGCCAATGGCCTGTCATCCACTGTCTTCCCCCTCCCCAACGTTCCCATCCTCATGACCTGATGGACACCATTGTGAAATATCCAGAGCATGGTAGTCCACTTCTGGAATTGCTCAAGCCTGACAGAGTGCCTCCACAGCCCTGAGCCAGTCCAACCACAATGTGGAACTCAGCGTCCTTCAACGAAGCCCCTTCTGGAATCACTGGGTCTGGCAGCACCTCTGCCGAACTTCTTGAGCCTGTTGCACCACCCCCTCCCCATCATTTCCAGATCCCTTGCTGAACTCCAAGAGCTTCCAGAATCCCATGCCCCTGTACCCCCGGCCTTTTGGACCCCACACCCCTGCACCCCGGGTCTTTTGGACTCCCCCGCCCAATGCACCCCAGGCCATCCAGAACCTGACTGACCATCTATCCCCACATCTTCTGTCAAGCAGTACTGTAAGTACAGGATGTTTGAATAGCCTGAATGAAAAATCAGAAAAGAGTCTGTGCATCCTGACGACGCAGGATTACTTGGCAACAATCAGAAGCAGTGTATGGGCAAACCGTATCTAATCTGGGAGGACACTGCAGTGGGGAACACTGATCTGATATTAGATATGTGTGATGCACACAATGCAGGGCACTATAAGAAAAGTAAGTGTCTATTCTTCAGCTGGACTGGTCCCAGTAAATCATAAATGGCCACAACCAACAGTTTCCTGTTATTCTAATTGCTCCATAACAGATATTCCCATCAGAGATTGATTAGATACCATTGCAGTTTTCAACTGGTTTCGATTGCACTTCCCTTTTGGGATTTGTCTTACTGTTTTAAATATTGTAGGAAAACAAGTCATTGGCCACAATACAAGATGAAACTGCTACTGTAATAAAATTACCACAGCCAGATTTTATTTTTGCTTTCAGCCTGTGGAACAGTTCTGTTGTTCAAGGTGCTTCCAATTCAGTTTGTGTTGCTGTTGCTTGCTTGCAACATTGGAGTGATTTGATAGTCAATTTATTGCTACTGCAGCAATAACTCGGTGTGAAATGGTTTGACTAAACCAGCGATGCCTGGTGAGGAATTGAGTGTTGATTTGCAAATTATGCTTAGAAGTGACTTGTGGTAAGAAAAGTGGACCTGAATTTTGCCATGGGATCCTGGACGCTGGAGTTAGGGAGAAAATGTGCCAAGAGGTGTTCAGTGACCCTCGATGACTTTACCTCAAGTGGGGTCCCCACCTCACCACTAATTGTGCGCTCCCACCCCGGGCCATCCATTTTCAAACAGGGAAAGACTCCTGAAGCTGCAGTGTGAAGGCTGTCAGCTCTAAAGCCTCTGCAGGACAAACAGGTGGCCGCACAGCATGGATACATCAGCAATGTCACTGTCTGAGGAGAAAGCTGCTGACGGAGGAGAGAGTGGGAAGAAGACGGAGAGAGCCAAGATGCCTCACAATGGAGGTGCCCTCTGAAGAAAATTTTAAAACTCATTGCATTAATTAGGTGACAGGTTACAGGCCACTGAAGTACAAAGGCACTCAATGGCTACAGTGGTACGGGTCAGACAGTGTTCCCGCAGCAGGATGGCGAGGTGGTAACTTACCCTTCAGTCTGCTGCTGGGAGGAAAATATGTAAAAGTTTATCACCACAATGCTTAATATTAGCACAGACACTGAAGTGCCTGTGATTTTTAAATATGTAAATAGCAGGAGCTTTGATTAATGTCTATTGAATCTTCCAATACTGTGTCTAGTTCTTAGGTTACTGGAATTAACAAGAAAATGACCTAATCAGACACTAGTATCCCGCTGAAGGCAATGGTCCATCACTCCATCATTGGCAGATTGTGAGAACAGTTTCACTAGGTCCCCTACCCCAGGCTGCCAGAGGGGCACCACCTCATATAACTGCAGCATCGTCACCTCTCACTGCACCACTGTCGACAAAATGCCTTCAGCACTGTCAAGTGGCTGTTAATATCTTGTTTAACAATACAGCTGGGAAGATACCTCAGCAGTACGACTGTGTCCAGAAGCCATTTGAGCACTGTTCCTACTCTATCCTACTGCCAATTCCCCAACACCATGAGTTTCCTGAAGATAGAGTAATGAAAATGAGACTGGTCATTTCCAGGTAGTACTGATCAGCAGATTTCTCAATCACAAGCCTCATTTCTCCTCTTTAAAAGAGCCTTCCTATTCAACACATCTCTTGAGTTGAGATTGGCCAGATTGACTGCGCTCTACCGTGTCAAGTCTTATTATTCTAAAGTGCGAGACTGATTCGAGCAAGTATTTCCCCTCTCCCCCTCTCCTTGTCATAATGAGATGGAGCACTGCTCACTGGGTGAGAGAATTAGAAAGCTCATCTCTACCAGACAATGCTGCCTGAATGACGGCTATTAAAGGTTTGGCTAGATCCTATGGTTTACCAGGAAACTTTTCTGCATGTTAAAAATAAAAAAAACTTGAAAACTGATTTCATTTTGTAATTCAATGTTAATATTAACTTTTTTTTTCTATTCAACCTGTTCAGAGATGTTATTTCACACCTCTAGAGCAGGTGGGCTTTGAACCCTGGCCCCAGTGTGCCATAGAG